TTACTGTAACAACACACGAGGATGCTTTACATTGAGCGGCGTGAAGAAGAGTGAATTAATGCTTTAAAACTCATTGATCAAAGTTAAATGAGGGCGAAAGTAAGAAATTGAGTGAAGCTTTAAAAATATACTTATTTTGACAATTTAATAATGAACATAATTTACTCAGGCAATAGAAAAACTAATGACCGTAATTTAATAATAAGCACCATTAAGAATAATCAACAAAGCACTAAAATATTAAACAACAACAATTGCAATATAAATGACAACTGATCGCTATATTTGGAGATGTGCAAAAATGCAACAACAAGATAACGTTATGCGAAAATGATTGACATTGAAGGTTGGCAAACACATATAGTATGTGGCCCTTACGAGGAGTTGTTTTTGCTTTGCTTCACACCTCCAAAAGAGTAAAATAAAGCTCTTTTTTATTTTTGACTTCGATTGATCAGTAGTCAATTCACAACAAAGCAACAATAAATCACATTTGACTTAAAATTTCCTTGAAAGACTTTTGTTGTTGTTGTAAATTTTAAATATTCTTTGATTTAATATGTAAGCTTCTCCTAATTGTGTAGTTGTTGCAATTCGTTCATTCGTTCATTTTAGCATCTTCGTATATAGCAGTCTCTCACGTTACTCCAATTTTCTGCCCTTTAGTTTGAAAGCACCTATCAATAATGGTGCACTTTTGTTCCAAATAATTGAATTTATTATTTTGTTTTTTTATTGATTGTTATTAGTGCAAGTGAGAAGTCGCGGTAAAGTGTTGATGCTTACGATAAAAAATATATATTTTAACGGGTAAAATGTGTTTTGTTATTAATATTTATAATTTGTTAATAATTAATTAAGTGTTTTTTAAGTGCTTTAGTGTTATTTCTTGTGTAATGAAAATAAATCAGTTTCGTATTAAAAAAAAGTTTAAGATCAAAGCATTATAATTTTTTTTCTCTATATCGTGTATAATATTTATCAGTCGCAGATACCGTTTTATTTCATTTATTTTATTGTAAGTTTCTTTGCTTTTATTATATTAATTATATTAATATATTAATAATTAATATTAATATATTATATACAATAATGTATATAAATCTCTATTTATTTACCTAATCAAAACTTATATTATATTTGCAATTTAATTACAGGGAAATGGTGCTTAGTTTTCTTTACGCACCTGTCTTAACAGTTCAACTGGTGAGTACAGTTTTTTGCTTACATATTCAATTGAAAAATAAAATTAAAAATCAATAAGGGCTTATTTTTATCAGACCTTACATTGTTTATTATTAGAAAAATCGATTAATAAAAGCAATATAAAATTTTTTTTGTTGTTATAAGGTAGAATGATTTATGTACTATCGTCGAAATTATGTGAGCGATGCTCTAACATTATGTTAAGCAATATTAATTATTTACTTTTAAAAATACTATATTTAAAATAATTGATTCTTTTAGACTGAGAGGTCATTTTATAATCAAAAAGTTTTATATATGATGTCAAGAAAGAAAATGTTTTGAAAGTCTTTACCATATGTGCTTAAATATTGGTCTTTCTTTATAGTATGGAATCTTTTTTTATATAATAAATAATTTTTTTTTACTTCTAACTTATTTGTAATGCAGCTATGACTTTAATAATTAAACGTATACCAGCTTTTACACTTCTTAAGTTAAAAAAAATGGTATTATTATAATTAAAGCACGATTATTTATTTCTTTAGATCATTTAATTAGCTTGAAACATTATATTCAGTAATCTTATGAGTATACGAAGAATTTTAAAAGAGGCAATTCCACATTTTATTATTGGTTACAGTAGTATGTATACATATAAGACCTTCAAATCGAAGTACATTTATCAGATAAGAATTAAGACTATTTTAAGATTTTTAGAAAAAGTAAATACACATACGATATAAGTAAACTATTTTCTATTACTATTATATATATTTTATAATGGTACGCTATTATAAAAATAAAAACTTACTTTGAATAAAAAAACTATTCAATAAATTCAATGTATATGTTGGTCTGAATCGATAACTGCTGTTTTACTAGAAGCCGAAAAATTGTTCTATTTTTATATATTTTTTATCTTTAAATTCGCTTAAAGATGAGTTGTAAAAAACTGCAACTCTAAATTTATCTTCTGTACTGTATCCCCAAGGAATTGTTTTGATTTTACTCTAATAATTTCAAGTAAACCTTAAAATATGTATCATATGCATATAGGAATTAAAGTTCCTGTTTCCCAATAGCATTTTTGCTCAAGTTAGTATATATCTTTTTAGAAATTATACAAGTTATAAAGTACAGAACAAAACAATATCCTATAAAATCTTCTCTGGTACAAATGATCAGACGTCATTTTTAACTTCCTGCTCGTCGTTTACTGATGTCGCTTTGTTCGCTGTGCTGGCAACACCATCTCACCATACTGGTGCTACCAGTTTATTCCTATATAAATGAAAATGAGGTTTTTATTTAGTATAGCCATATAATATTATTGTAATGTTGGAGGAATTTTACTTTACGACTAGAAAATCCATTGAGCCCCCTTCATGGATATAAAATATTTTTTCAATTTCGATTTGATTGATAAATTTCAGTATTGAATCTTCATTACCGTTTTATGTTTTCAGCCAACATAAGATAACGAGCTAGGTTTTTCTTTCTTTTATATATCAGTCTGAGGCAAAGTGCCATCACGTATTTTTAAATTTCTTTCCCTTCCATAAAAATTCAAAAGTTCTATTAACGTAAATTTTCAGTTTTCAAAACTGATGCTTTAACATATACTTTGCTTACAGAGTTTCTGTAATGATTCTTAAGTTATTTCGACTTAAGTGAATAAAATTCTAATAACAGGGGGCTTAAAATTCCAATGTGCGATATCGAATGTGATGACCCTGATACATAATCTTACTATAATTTCCTCTATTTCTATTCTTCTTTCCGAATGAATGAAAAAAGCGTATGTATTTTTGTTATATTTTATTAGTTTAGTTATTATTAGTTTATTATTATTGACTTTGTTTTTTATTCCATTGTAAAAAGACTATACTTACTCCAGTATTCCGTTTCTGTTTTTTCTGTTCTTCGCAAATAAAAAAAATTCTGTTTTACTATTTTTTTTTGTAGGTCCAACAAGACTATAAAATTATTAATAATTAAATCGTGACTTTATTTCGTCTTTTCTAAAGTATTGTATCTCACTGCGATAATCACTTATTAGCATAGTTTTAAGGTTGATTTGGTATTCACTCAATTATAAAAATAAAAAAGTGTACGCATTATACCTTATCTATTAAGATAGTTCTTCAATTGTGTATTGGTTGCGCTGTTAGTGACATATATATTAACTAGCAGGAAGTTGCTTAAATTAATTTGAGTGTACCTTTTCACAGTACAAGACAAAGGTAAAGGCAAGTGAGTTTGATAATTTTTTATATAAAAAAATGTGGGATCAAGTACTTAATAAGAAAGTATGTGTTTAAAAACTAGCGAATCTTACAAAATATTAATAAAGGCCTTCCGAATCTATGTTACAATCATAAGTCAATAATAGTTCTTACATATGTATACGTACAGATACATATATATATATATATATATATATTTATGCCTTCATAAACCAAATTGTTCCTGTATTTTATTATCATTATTTTAGTAAGCTGTAAAAGCTCTGCCAACTGTTCTATAGTATAAGCCCTACCCACCTGGTGCAATTCTAACCGTAGTTAAATTTAAAATTAAATATTATATTTTATTAAGTACTCGTTTTATAGGGTAGCATATATATTTAGTTTTTATAAAAAAAATAAATTTATTTCTTAATAATACTGTAAAATAGTTACACTGTCCCAAAACAGCCCTTTTGTTCTAAAGAAGAACAATTCAGTATTAAATTCGTATTGAATTAATAAAACAAATTTTTGTTAGTAGTTAATTTAATTTTATTTTTTATTTATTTATTTTGAATACATGAATTACATCTTTCTACAAATAATTGTTAAAAAATATATATATACTTATATATATATGTATATATATAATTATGCATTAATTAGTTTATAGATATGAACATTTTGTAAATTAACTTAAATTTTACAATAAGCATAATAATATATCATTAAATTTCAATTTGCTTAATTTGTTTTTACATTTTTTTATTTATTTATATATTTAATATGGACGGTATTAACAGATTTGCATATATAGTATATTTATAAAAGTAATTATGTTGAAAAATTGTTAATTTCGTTTGTGCTCAAATTATTTTGTGCACTTGTTCGTTTTAATTTATAATTAATACTTCAAGCATTTTAAGCTAATTCATTTATATAAATAATTTATATGTATACATAAAATACAAATTAATTATATTATTTATTCTATAATAGTTATATAGAGAATTAATAAAGGCAATTGCAGCAAAGTCCCTCCACCTTCGTATAGCGCATTTATATTATATAAATTTTATTTTCATAGCAAAAAATACAATACAATGTAAATAGTAATTTTGGAATGAGAAGTTAAATATTCAAAGATAAATTTAAATAAAAAGTAAAGCAATTCAATAATTTGTATTTTTGAATTGATTAATTAATCAAACTTTTCCAGTATTTCACTTATCAAGAAAATTAAAAAAAAAATATTTTTATATAAAAAAATGTGAAATAAATGAAAAAGTTTGAAAAAATTAAGAAATTATTTTTCGAAACCTATTTGTGTGAATGCAAAAATATGTAGAAATTTTTTTTTATTAATAAATAATAAATTACAAAAAGTTTATTTAACAAAAAAATTAAATTTATAATTTATTTAGGCGAAATATTGACAATTGCTACCTAAACAATTATTTAAATTACAGTAAATAAATAAATACATGCAAAATTGATTTTACTGATTTATGAATATATTTTTTTGTGTGGTGTAAATTGTTTTTAAAAGTTTTATTTTTTATTTTTATTTTATATTTTCTTTTGCTATTTATTATTTTTTAATTTTGGCATTTTCATACAATTTTATTTGAAATTTATGTTTGTCAAATCAAATCCATCATTTTTGATTGCCCCAATAATCTAGCCTGTATTTTTCTGCTTATGTCAGACAGTCACAAGTGTGCTTATATTTGTGATTGATGATGTGAGAGTTGGCTTAAAAATTTATTCATTCACATATACTTCAATGAGATGAAGAAGTATATATGTTTAAATAAAATTGATTTGTTTTAATTAAATTGAGAATATTACGAAGGCTGTCAGTAAATTGTGGTTCATATGTATAGAGTATTTGTCATTTCTGTAAATTGTATTGTATAGAAAAATTCTATTTAACTATTTATTAATACTTTCAAATTTTAATAAAAAATACATTTTACAGCCAATCTTTTCTATTAGAACTATTACACCTATTTCTTCTTATAATTCTAATAGAAAATAATTTTTGTAAAATTAGTTGCATAAAAAAATTGCTTTTATCTATTCGTACTAATAGTTTGAACCGCTTTTATATTTCGTTAATTAATATATTATCCTCTTCAGAATATGAGGCAAAAATTATAGCTTTCATCTTACTTAAATTGCAAAAATTATGTTTCGTATGCGAAAATAATTTTGATTTATTGCAATTTCCATGTGAGGCACACATAAAATTCACCTGTGACTACACCGCCTTTGGCACATACACCTATAAAAAGATCCATTAAATTTGTATAACCAAATGTCCTGCCAGGCTAAAGCCACATGTGCAACGCCGCACCAAACATCCTGTTGCCATAAGTTGTGACGTGCAGACAAGGCACATTTTTCGGTTTGACATGAAACATTGCCTACTTTCCGGCTAAAAGGTTTTTGGCTCATTTTGCGCAACTCATCTTATTTTCCGTCGCAAAATTTACAGGCCACGGGCCACACTACATGACTTATTGCGGTGTGTCTGCTTAAATTTAAGCAAATTTACTGTTTCAATTGGGCTATGTATGGGAAAGCATATCGTGTTTTATGTTAATTGGACTGAAAGTAACTTTTGCGGGTTACTAAATTAATTTTCTTTAAGTGGCAAGTTTTTGAATTGCGCTGCAGTAATATTGAAAACCACAAAGTCCATGACTTTGTTACTCTGTATTTAAAAGCAATTTAATTTGCTTGGTTGGATATGCTTTCAAAAATTACTTTGACTCTAGATCCCATATAAATTGCATTCATACAAAAGATTTCATCTTAAAACTAGCATAGTTTGACTTAATTTAGTTTATATAAGGAAAAAAAATTACTAGCGATATATATAGTTAAGCTTTCTACATACATTTATATATTTTGAGTTTCATGTATAACTCTTAGTTTAGCAATTTTTCATATATTAGTTTTAAGTAACATAGGCAGGAGTTTATTTAATTGGCACTTTTTTGTTAATTGTTTTAAATATTTCACATTATTACATTTTTATGACTTCAAACTGATATTTTAAGTGTCACTTCTATTTCATTATATATATAAATCAACTACTCAGTTGTCTACCATTCTCTGGGACGTGCACCACTGTCGCCTTTATAAGTGCTACGTCGAGTCTCGACATATTCACTTTGAGTTTGAGCCACAATGCGCCCAGCCCGTGGCGGTGGTGGAGGTGCTGGCACGCGTGGTTGGAATGTTGTCTGCAAAACAAAAATTAATATTATTATAGGTACATATTATTCTTTACTCAAAAGTATATCGCACTTACCAAACGTTGCGATCTTCTTGATTTGGGTGTACCCTCAGGTGAGGACATATCTTCTGGCGCTACCCAATGTTCTGTGAACTCACTAGCAGAACGTGCCAATGATGGATGACTTACTGAGCGATGGAATGAACGTCGGTCCTCATCGTCATATGTATAATGCATTGGATAAAATGAACTGACATCTGACACATTATCCAAATGCTCAGGACGTCCAAAATCAACGGTTACCTCTGACATGGAACGGAAATCATTATGATCGGTATTATACGAAGTACGCGAAGAGCGACGTGAACGTTGTAAATTAAAACCAGTATGAACATTAATTGGCATGGTCGGATCATTACGTATAGTACGCACACTGGAGCCACCGTCACTGTCGTATTCATATAATGTTGGCAAGGAGCTTCGACGCGAACGTGTATCCCAAGGTTGAGTTTTCTTACCACGTTTAGGTGCACGCATTTCAACATCTATATCGTCATCATTGGGCGGTGCCAATATACGTATAATAACATCCCATGTTTGTGGTTCAAATATACGTTCATAGCGTGTATCTTGACGTATACGTTCAAAATCTTCCCGTACCACTGCTTCTGTTAACATAGTACGTAGTGATGATTCGGTTGTTATGATTTCCTTCCATTTTGCTTTATCATCATAGCTAATGAAACGTGTTAATGGATGTACGCTTGAGTGTACAGAGCTGGCGTCATCAACTTCTGACATTTCTGGTTCTTCAAGTATACGTATAAGCACATCCCAGTTAGGTACAGCTTTGTCTTCCGGTGGTAACTCAATTGGTTTCATATTTCCAACCAATTCTGGACTTGTCAGTTTTTCTTTGTTATCATAAATTTGCTGTGGCGGTTCAGTTGGTTTGATTGGTAAAGTTAGTTCTGAGCGTTCCATTTTGGGTGTCAGTGTCATACCAGAAGCGCTTGATATATCTGAGAAGTTCTCCCATTGCATTTGTTCACGTTCAGTTGGATAATTGCGTATTTTCACATCCCAAGTTGGGTCAGGTACTGGTGGTGGCAGTGGTTTAGCTCTAGGTTTGTATTCAGTAACGCGTCGTTTATGACTTTCAATATCCTCAATAGTCTTTTTCTCAGTTATAGTACGCAAATATACATCATCAACTATATGCGAAGTTACTTGTGGTTTTTTGATCACAATTGGTGGTTCTGGTGGTAGGTATTCTGCCTCAAAGAAGTGTGTACTATCAACAATTTCACCAACTGAATGCATATCTGGTGCTTCGGAGATCAAGTCTGTAATTTCACTTGCTGCAGGACCGTCAGTGTAATCTGACCAAGTTTCTGGACGTCCGTCAACGACTTCATGGTGTGTGCGTGTGTAGACAGAGAATACAGGTTCTGGTGGTGGTGGCATTACAATAGTTGTTTGTTTGGGTGCAGGATGTAGTTCAGGCATGTAAGTGAACTGTGTTTGCACGGTTTCTTCCTGTGCTGGCAGTGAATCCATTGTAATAATACTTTCACGATCTTCATGGGTTTCCATAATAGTCGATAAATTATTGCGTTCTGGTCGTAGTGTAGCAACGCTTTCTGTATCGGATGTAACGGGTGATGGGGGTGGTGGGGGTGATTTTTTAACTCGTACTTGTACATCGAATTTAGGTGAAGGCGATTCTTTGACTGCAATTGGTAAACGAGGCACCGAAGTTGCAACTGCATTTGCTGCTTGCACCTCTTGTGTGTGACCGTAGTGGTCACTATAAATGCTTGAAGTTTCTTGCACAAAGGCGCGATTTTCGAAACTACCGGCGGAACTAAATGGCAGTGATCTATAATACAAAAGCGATTTGTAAAAAATAAAAAAGTTTATAATAGTCGGTTTTCTTAGTTATTAATATTTTTCCAATTTATATGCATAAGAGAAAGAATACTCAATAATTGTTCTCACCTCGTATCGATTTCTTCAATTTCCGAATGTGATTCGCTTGGATAGTCCGAAGGTATTAGTGCACCCTCGCTACCAGAAGAGCTGTGCACTGCGGCTAAGGCAGCATGTGCACGAGGTATTTTAACTCCTTCAAAGGTACTAATATTGCCCATACTACCATCACTTAATTTAGTGATCTCAGAGCCGCTGCTAATAGACATAGGCAAACGTCGCACAACTGGTATAGGTCGGCTGCGCAGGCAATAATATGAGACAGCCAAACCGAGCAGTAGTAGCGTAAGGAACATAATAGCACAGATGATCATCAGTATTTGTATACCTTTAAGTGGTGGATGTATGACTGCAGCTACATCGGGAGTTAAGCTAAGAAGTATATGTATGTATATGTGATTATTTTAATTATTTAGGGAAAGTTTCGAATGTGAGATCTAAAATTATTAGAAAATTTTTACTAAACCCAGAAATTGTGTTTTAAGCACTTGTGTCTCTAAAAATGGTTATAGAAAAGTCATCTAACCAGTTGGATATATGGCTTGAACTAAAAATTTATGTCTTCATTACTTACATGCGAGCTGGCAATGCTGGTGGCAGTGACGGTATTGGTGGTGGATAACGACAGACAATTGTTATAATCTCATCGCCATCCATTTCTAGGTTAGCATGGAAGCGCACGATTATGTTGTTGGTGAAAACTCGTGTGGGATTCTAATAAAATAAATATTTGAAAATTTTTCCTATAGTAAGGATATGAAAGTCTTACCTGTATGGTACCACATCCCTTTAGTGGCAACTCTAATCTATAGCTTAAGGCTCCTTTACCATTTACACGACATGCGCTACTACGATCGTAGTCAGCTTGTATGATGCCATGAAAAGGTTCGTTAAACTTGAGATCAACCTTTAAACAATAAAAAAAATCAATTTATTTACATGAAAGTAATTTAGATTAATATTGCTGTTATTAATAGAAAGGCATAGGGTACAACTTACTTGCATTGAGCCAGCAGCACAATTCAATGCAGCTTTGGTGCGATTCAGAAATATCAATGGGCTAATATCGTCCAATTTTGTAACCTAAAATTAAACCAAACATGTTTTAATTATAATATTAGTATTTCATAGATTAGATAAGGGATTTTAAATTTCAAATACAATTTATTACATATAGTATTTGCAATTCAGCATATGTTCAGAGTAATTAATTTTACACAATTCGCATTGAATGTCACATTGCAGTATTATATGTACTATTTATATATCTGTTTCACAATTAGCAACAATAAAACATTTGTGATATTAGCGTTACTCCGATATCATTAGGTATCATCAATATTTCTGTTATGTAAGCCACGAAAGCCAATTTCAACAACAACAATTAAACAACCACACAATTTCCTTTGAAAGCAATTAAGTAAAATGTTGGGAAAATAATTAACATAATTTTCCATAGAAAATCACAAACGCAGTGGTTCATATGTTGCAGTCAAAGCGGCATACGCGGAACCCGCATTCATATTGAGTGCAATATGCTTTTAGGTTTGGTGTCACTAACCAATATGTGGATGTGGAGTGGATATGTGGAATTGCAGATACATGATTGCGTGTGGCAAGCCATTACCTGCTGGTGTGAAATTATTACAAAGCTCCATATATTGGAGCTCATATTATTACAGCAGCCTGACGCAATGAGGAAATTGGCACAGAAGCCACTATAATTAGGAAGACCCTTTACTCTGGCTTAAAGATATATGCTTCGCTTAAGTACTTCTTCGAATTATGATTTTTTTTTGTTTGTGGCAATAATTAATTATTTAATTAATTTGTGTAATATATGAAGCTAACAGAGGTATGTTTATTTTTAGTTTCATTGTTTGTTGAAAAAAATTTAGATATTAATTTTGTATCACATCATATTTGTTGATGATGATTAGTTGACATTATTTGAAATATCTATATCAGCTGTTAAAAATAATTTTAAATAATTAATTAATTAATTAAATTAATAGAAAATAATATAAAAAGGAATACAGTTTATACTAACTGTTGAAATAAAACACAAAGTGACAAAGCTATTAAAATAGTATTAGTTGAGAAGAAAATACTACACTAAACTTACTGAAAGATCATAACTACATACGATCAGACAGCAAATTCGTGTTTATTCGTAGTATATACTATGCTATACTATATACTATGATATACTTTATATTATAAACTTTATATTTATGCATAATTGAAGACCTCGAATATTATTTAGAACTATATTTTCTCTTTTGTGTAGCAAATTCTATATGATCAAATTTTGATGGAATGGAAATTCTATATACGATCTTGAAACATAAAAAGTTGAGAACTGGAGAAATTAAATGCTCATATATACCACATTAAATTTATTTTAACGTCCGTTTTTACGAAAAAAATTAAATTCCTATTATAAACAATTGTTTCCAATAGAGAAGTTTTTATCGAACAGTAGTGAATTGCAACAACAGACATTTTTAATAATTTTTAATTAATTTTTTTTTTAAATATTAAAAAATTTTTGATTAATGGGTTTAGGAATTATATCTTATACATATTTAGTTATTAGTAAACAATTTTTTTAAACTGCACGTATGAGAGGTTGCACTCATACCCTGCTAAATTTGAACCTCAGAGTCAGTAATCATTAGCCAATTGGCTTAATGCTCAAATAATGCTCATTAACTCATATGTAGCAAGTCAACAGGCCATCTCTGCGGTATGGTGTGTTAGATTGCTTTCAATAAAATAGTTAAATAGTTCTTTAACTAAAAACATCTAAACTTTTCAAAAAAATAGTTTGTCATTTTCATTAATTCTTTAGTTGTACTTAGAAGTATATAAGGACGATATTGACCAATATCCGTTCTATTACAGAGCGGTTTTACAATAAATGTTGTGGTAGATTATTATTCTCTTCAAGTGCTGATTAATGATGTTGCATATAGAGAAAGGAATAGGAGTGCTAACTGTCACTAACTCCATTAAATCCGAACTTACAAATGTAAAACTTAAGATACCTACACTGATATGTAATGAGTTAGCTTTAATGACTTTATTTGCAGAGGCTCTACAATCAGGACTTTAAGAAAAACATGGTAATAAGGACACATGACATATCATGTGGTTTTGAAAATAATGTTCGCATTATGGATTACAAAGGTACTACAATACGATTGATTATTAGGGTACAAAAGGAGTGGAATAAAACGACTGTGTCTCGAAATTACCAGGTGTACCGGTATGAAGTGAGCGTAAAGATACAAATGTTCCGACAGGGAACATTTGTTGTGAACGAGCCTTTATTCTTTTTGTTTGTTTGCTATGACATGTGTGAAATATATTTAGTATACATCAAGTCATTGAACAGACAACACCATATTTTTTCATCGTGTTAAAAATGTCGAATTTTGTACCAGAAAGTGATGATTTGCGGAAAGCATTAATTTTTTGTTTTCATTTGAAGAAAAGAGAAAAGTGGTGCAGAGTCGCATCGAATGCTTGTCGAGGCATATGGTGATCATGCTCTATCAGAAGCAACATGCAAAAGATGGTTTCAATGGTTCAGAAATAATGATTTTGATTTGAGAAATGAAGAACGTGGAAGACCGCTAAAAAAGTTTGAAGACGCCGAATCGCAAACGATATTGGATGGAGATGACACTTTGGGTCAAAAGCAAATGGCAGAAATGTTAAATGTTGCACAACAAACAATTTCTGACCGTTTAAA